GCGCCGGCGGCGGGACGAGGCTTCCAGGGCGGGAAGAGGCCCACGTTCTCATCGCGAACCGGGCTCTGCTCCTTGGCATACCGCTATTAGCCCTAGCACCGCCCTGTCATTGCTGCCGGACTGCTTCTCTGCCACGTGAACATACTAGATATGGACACATCTGGAATGGCACACGCCAAGTACATGAATGATACACAGTGTACATACACAGAATACAAGTGTGCTTGGCTCCTACCGGCCACGCTCTGTCTCCACTCCGTCTTGCAGAGCTGGGAGTGGAGCTTGCAGGAACATAGGGCTGAAGGGACCCACAACACAAGGCTGCTAAGCCAGTCCCTGCCGGCACACAGCAGGGGCTGCCAACAGGAGCCGCTACTCAGAAGAGAAACTTTCCCTCCACTCTCAACCAGCTTCGAAGGCTTGCAGACTTGCTGCACTAATAGCAAATACCACCTTAAATGTACACAAGATACAGTGCAAAAATTGCATATACTGCACAGACCTTGCCTACAAATCACTTAGCAAATTCTGGTGTTTAAAATAACTAATTTGAATTATGCTGTTGGTAAATCCCAAGAAAGGAGGGTGGCTCTGCATCACCTACCTTTAAGCCATAAGCAGTCCTGGCTGCCTCTCACCCTTGACATGCTGCTGACAGCACAAGCCTGCAGCACAGGTTACAAGGAGCAGAGCTCAATCTCCGCTCCCTTTCTCCTGGGCCCAATCTTGCTCTTTCACACACCCGTGACACCACTTACCTACTTACCTTTTTCCAGTGGGGAGCCTGTGCAGGCTACACCCTCCCAGGAGCAACAGCGTGCAGGGCCCTGGAGGGCAGATCTTCTCCAATAAAAGAGTGAAAAAAAGAAGGCACAGAGTTCATTTGGTCTTGCCCTACTTCTGGGGCAGGAACAGGCTATGTCATTGTTTACTAATTACGAAATCTCTGGAAGCTGTTCTTCATTGCTTTCCATCTCTCAACACATGCAGCTGAATGCAGCTTTCCCAGGCTTTTACAGCTGTAGATATTACAGATATCTTGGCTTTTATAAACCAGATGAGCAGCATTTAAAAAAACAGGTCAACAGTTTGAACAAGGTAGAAGTTATAAATATGGAAGAAGGGAGGGAAAGTGGGGAAGAGTCTAAAGATGACAATGATAGCTGAAATTATTAATCCATGGCAAAATTTATTGCTCCTCTAGAAGAACATGTGGAGGAGGGTTAAATTTCCAGACTTTTAAGGTGAAGTGAAACACAAAAGAAACAAAAACAGGTACCTTGAACACCACTAGGATCAACTTCCCGTGAATGGAAAATATGCTAGAAAAACCTAAAATAAACAATAGAGCACTTGGCTCCATCAAGACCGAGAAAATGTGCAAATATCACTGATTGACAGTATCTAATATTATTTTATTACATCAATAGATATAAAGATGCCAGACTTCCAGGTACCCTTATCTTTCAAGTCTGAAAGAAAAGCTGAAAACTTTAAAACTAGTTACAGGTGGAGACCAAACTTCATGGTTAGCATCATTGTGCTTGCCAGCTAAAGCTAAATCATTAGCAGCTGTGGGATATATAGAGAACAACATAACAGCAGTTATCACCAGCAGATAATGAAACATGGCAGGAGCTGTAATATGATCAAATACTTCCAAGGGTCAGTATCTCTGCCAGCTCCATGATTCTCCAAACCCCACCAACCATATCTGTAAGTCAGAAAGTGTCTGACACATAGCAGAGATGTTTCACTATACTTATTTATATAAACATAAATTTAGTAGTGTGCTATTCTGACCCCATTTAAATTTGTGGGAGAAGGCTATTAAATTATTAATATTAAATTCCTGCAGTTTGGAGGAATCATTTCAAAGGGCAGAGGATATTGATTAATCCCATACTTAGACTGCACTTTGAGAAGAGAGTGGCAACAGGATTTAATGTTTACAACTCTGAATGTATATAGCTGCACCTATTTTGCTGCATAAAAGTTGAGACCTAAAGAAGTTTCAGAAAGGAATATCTATCTTCTCAGGTATATGCATATATATGATAGCTGTTTCTTAACAGCTGAACACAACTGCATGTTGCAAGTGGTGGGAGCCCGCAGCAATGCTCTGTAATAGAGATCTTACTAAAACCAAAACTACATTTTCTGCTTTCTAACCCATGTCACTAAAACATGCAGATCACAGACAGAATCAGCTACAGGAAAATAAGTTAGAATGTAGCATTTGATAAAAATCAAGATATTGAAACAAACACAGCAGAATGTTGGGAGGCAATATATAAGAACTTGGGCTGTGCTGAAGTACACATGTTCTGTAAAATGACTTAATGATGGCATTTCATGTTTGCAAGAATGGAGGAAGGAAAACAACCCCAGGAAAGATAAACACACAGTATATGGAAAGGATGTTGCCAGGCCTTCATGTAGTCAGTCTATGCCATGGTTTGACAAGTAGCTATAGGAAAGCTGTAGTATTTGATAACCTTCATTAGGGAATGGAAGGAATTTTCCAGACTGGCCCTTCTAACCTTTATCAGTAAAGAAAGTGCAACTATTTCTGAATAGACATAAAATTTTTTGTTAGGTTTTCTTCAGTCTGTTGCTTGTTGCAATGACAGTTTTGTCATTACAGAGTTAAAGAACATTTCAAATTGGTGGGTGAAGTGGAGAAGCCTGTTTAATCATTTTCTGTATCTGCTGTTCAGGTACCAACACAGAATAAGCAGGGTGTAACATCACAGTATTAAGTTTGTGCCCTAAGTTTGTTATATGTAATAGATCCAAGTTACCTATTTTCATCCTGCAGGAAATGTGATGCTTATATAGCTTTACTTTTATTTAAAGGATTGACTGTCCTTCTCAGCTGTACATATGCATTTGTCGGACTATTGCTATCTCTCTGAAGAGAAACAGAACTCTGTCATCTTTTAGACTTGGCAGGTTTTTGCCAGGTAAACATCTCAGGGCTAGGTAAAGCATTCAGATTGCCATTGTCTTTCTGAAATTTGAGCTTAAGCAACTGCACACAAGGTAAGCAACTGGCTTACTTTCCAAAGCTACAATGGAATGGTGAGAGGAAAATTAAAGTAACTATAAACAAAGAATTAGTCTAGTTTTAATCCAGAAGCCAAGCACAACAATAACACAACTCTTCTTGGAAAGCACATTTACTCTTGAAACGCTGTTCCAGTAAACAGAAATAATTGTGTTTAGATTTTTTAATTTTAAAACATATTTTAAAAACATTAATCAGCTTTCAAATCTGTTCAAGTAGCAGAGTGATTCTCTCAGTTAAGTAATTCCAGAAATTAAGCATCTCAGCAGATATTATGGAAACAGGGATATTTGTTTGAAGAGTTGGATGTTGGGGGTCCAGTCACAACATCCTCCAGGTCTGCTATGATTTCAGGCAAGTCATTCACATTTTTAAAAAGCAATTGATTCTGAGCAACTCAACATCCCTTCTCTCCTACCTCCACTGCAAAGTTTACCTCTCAAAGTTGCTGAACACTCACAGCTCCAAATGTTTCCTGCCATGGCTATTTAGCTCTTCAAAAAAAAAGTCATGCTCAAACTGTCTCAGGTTAGAGAATCAAAAAACATAGTATCTAAAAGGAAGAAGACTAAAAGGTTTTTTTTTTAAATGAAGTGCAAATTGTATTCATATATTTGATTTCCATTTCAAGTCTTTTCCTAACACCACCTCTCTCCTATTAATATAACCATACAGGGTTATTTATTTACAGCTTTTTGACTATAAGATGATGAAAGAATATTGAGAAAATAAATTTAAAAG